TGGAGAAGGGTACAGTATTTGACTGAGCAATTTTGGCACAGATGGAGAAAGGAATACCTGGCCAATATTGCTCTGAGACAGCGATGGCATACACCAAGACGTAATGTGGAGGTGGGTGACATTGTGATTCTCAAAGAGGAAGATGTTCCTCGCAATGAATGGAAACTTGCTAGGGCTGTGGAAGCACATGAGGATGATGATGGACTTGTACGGAAGGTGACAATCCAGACTGGTGATCGGAAGTTAGGAAAGGGAGGCGAACGCCTCGTCCAACCCTCAATCATTCAGAGACCCATTCAGAAATTAGTGGTCCTGGTGAAAAACAGCTAAATGGGAAAAATGTCATTCATTGATTAGATTTCCCTTCTAAAATAGAAGTTGTCATTATGCTGTACTTCATGCACATGTTATGGAGATGTAAAATCTACTGTTCATATTGTTGAATTCATTTGTTGAGAAAAGAATATTGTTTATGTCAATGCAAGAATGTTTAAAACAACAACATGGTGCTTGGGAATTACCATTGATATAATGAGAAATGCAAGTGTATTTACGTTCTCAATTGTAATAATCAAAGGTAATTGGTGGGAGTGTAGCTGACGCTGAAATGTTTGTGTGGGTTGCCATGACAACACCAAAGTGAATCTGAGATCGTTATTGTTTTCTAATTGTTTTCTTTATTTGCTTCTCATGCTTGTGTACATTTGCAGTAGGAACCTTGTGAAAGGAAATAAGTGGCTGAGATGAATATCATATGTGCTATCGATATTATTTTACTTGTTTCTAGTTTTCACGGTGCTCCATGATTGTGAGAGGAATAAAAGAATTGTGGACATCAGTACGAAGCGTGGATTCTTTCGACCAGAGTAGAAACAGCCAGTCCAGCTATGTTAACCTGCAACCAAATCTGCAGCTCCATACAGCAATGTTACGACTTAGATTACATCTTATAACTCATAACTCTTATGTTAGCTGCCCTCAGTAGCATACTGTCTGAAATATTCCACGGCTGCAATAATTCTTTAAGTGTTATTTTTTCCTTGGTATTCTAATTTCACCGAAGTTTACTAAACTCAACAAACTTAATATTACTTACCGGGACATTTATTCTGTCCTCATTTTCTTTCACCGAAAAATTGTGTTCCTGCAGTGCCATCTTTCGCGCTTGGCTCTCCTACCTTTGCTAACGTGATGCACATAGCGCAGAAGCCGATGCTGCATTCACTTACACTCGGATATCTGAGCGTCACCGTGAAAACATAATCGGACATTTGATATTTGATTGAATTTTATTGTTTTGCCTTTGGGGTGGCACCTGGGGTGGCCAGTCTGGTTGGGGGGGTGGCCTGTGCCCCCCAGGCCACCCCGCTGGACACGCCATTGAGCTTTTGTACATGTAGAGAAAGGTCTGTTGCTGAGTTTATTAATTCATCTTTTAGTTTTTGTTGTTTTCTTATTAATGAATGAAACGCCAGCTATGTATCACCCAGGAATTTTGCTTTGACTGCAGACAATTATTTGCTGATTACTTCAATCAGGTTGTTAATTCCACTGAACAACATTCTTAACTGCAGGATATAAAGTCTAGAGATTGTCGTACAATTTTCTCTTCTCAGCACATCAGTCCCATACTAGGTGTTAATATTGTCTTTAAATAGTGGAATGGCTTTCTTACTACTATGATGCTTAATGACAGTTGCACACCTCATACTGAGAGACCTAGATAAAGTAACCCCTGTTGCAGGTCAGAATGCGGTGTTAAAATTATTAGAAAAACGGATGCCGGTTATTATAATTGGGCTTTGGAATTTGCACGAGGTTAAAGTATGACAAACACTTAATTTCAGTCAGGCATAGACGTGATTATGGTGTGAATGACGAATATATGCAGTGTTAATATTTGCCATTTCAGCACTGAGCCCATCATTCCCCTAGAGGAAACACCACGCTCAGCACAGCAGGGAGGAGAGAGAGAGATGATAATCACTTTCCCCCTTGAGGAACACATACTTACAATCTACAGTTGGATTTTTGGAGGTGATCTAATATTCTCTAAAAACAGCACTAACACTTGAAAGAAGGGCTATCATAGCAGTGTGGCAACAAGAGAGCAATCAGAGCTCTGACAGCTTAAATATACTGCGTTACACAAAGGATACACTGGACGTACGGTAAATTGCACTCATAGAGCTTGTCATGTAGTATGAGCGGTAGTGAACTTGTGATGCCTGAGCACACTTGCACAGCTGTCATCTATCTAAGATAAGTAATGAGTGGAGAGGCTTCAGTCACCAATTAAATCAAACGGGAGGAGCAAAATGTTAGATATGTTTGTTAATTTGACCTAAAAACAATAAAACTTATCAACTAGTTTAATTGATTTATATCCATAATTTCCCCTGGTGTTTAGCCGCTGCTCAGTCCTCATCAAGATGGCAACAAATACTGTGTATCCAATGTTGAGATTAAAGAATAGAGGGCTAAAAATGTAACTGAGACGTTTGAGAAGAAAGAAGGCAAATCTCAAAGCACATCAATGACTCTTTAAGAGGAATAAGCATCATAAAGGTCACTGGCTGACTTGATGTCTTTCAAGCTGAGGTTGCATCATCTGTCATTGTGACAGACAGGGTCATAAAATGTCCATCATAATCTATTATTACCAGTCATTTTAATTTTAATTTATCCTGATAAAGAAATATATTCAATAAAAAGATAATAAAGAAACAACTCAGTCACTGTTTAATACAGAGTAGAGAACATGCATTTATCAGGAAAGGACAGACAGTTTCACAGACCTTGGGATCACTCCTCATGTCAACACCACAAGAAGCACATAAGTTTTTACTCAAAGTGACACTAAAATACTCCAACCATTGTTATTAAACAACCAAATGTGACGAAAACAGGATGCTCGCTTGATAAAGTAAGATAACTGATGGGGCCACTGTCAGTAATCATATAATAACCCTCATCATAACCTCATATATTGAAGATTGGCGACCTGTCCAGGGTGCACCCCGCCTCTTGCTCTATTATAGCTGAAGAGAATGGATGGGTGGGATGGACGAGTCTAGAAACGCTGCCCCCAGGGAGGCGATCAGAGGTCAGCAATACTGTGTTTACATGAGACCACATGCGTTTCTTCTGTATCAGGGTGCAACAGAATCCATCTATGACCTGCAGTGGTCACAGATGCACCCAAAGAAATTGAGGGAGGATATTTCTGTATAATGTTTGATGTTATGTTTAGAAAAAGAGAAGTCACCAATGCTGTGAGCACTGTTCTTGTCACTATTGCATATGAATTATTTGCTATACAAATACAGGCCATTCTTCTAATCTGTCAAAAATGATGGACGGCCGTCTGATTTTTCTGTCATTCAGTCAAAAAGAAAAAGTCAGACAATGACAGAAAATGTTTCATCACTGCAATATTTGATTTCAAGATGTAAGTACAAATGTTTTCTTTAAATAACGTTTAAATAGCTTGATCATATGGCCATCTTTCTTCTCTAATCCTTAAAAATGGTTTGAAGTTCTTGTAGATTTGGAGGACTTTCATTTTGCACAGTAGCAGCTTTATAAGGTGCAGCCTACCAGCTACTCTTGCTATAATCGTCAGGCTTTGAGGTGATGCAGTAAACACTGACATAGTTGTCAGATCTATCATTCAAGATTTATGGACATTTGTGAGAGAAAACCAAAGCAGGCCTCCAATTTCTAGCCAACAACCATTGATTTTGATGTATGAAAACCAACTCTGTCTCCATCTGTCTTGCAATGCTTCCAGCTAACTGGCATTGAACAGAATACTCTGTAAAAAATGCTTCAAACATGCATTCAATTGTTATATATTTTATATGATGTGACGCTAACAGATTTAGGCTATAGGCAAAAAGTCAGCCAACTTGGAGAACAACTTAAAGGTGGAGCAACACTTTATGAAATCAGGATATGCCCCCTAACTTGCAAAGTAAATCTATATTAAGTCTCTAATGTGTAAAGAGAGCTTTCCGCTACCTTTTTGCAGTTATAAGTGTGCTGTCAGGGTTCTGAGTTTTCTGTATAATATTATTCTTTTGGCTTTGAGAATCATTTGTTTTGACATTTTTCTTGTAATAGCATTTCCTGGTCGGTTTCTTTATATTTATATTTTCTGTTTTTACTTTTACTTCAAGTTGGGTATTTAAGTCACTGAGTTCCTGTGTGTTCCTGCCTCCCTTGTGTTTTCATGGCTTGTTTAGTCTCTGTTTTGTTCCCATTTTTATTTTTTTATTCCTTCTGAGTCATTATGTTAAGTTATCCTCAGCTGTGTTCTCACCCGTTACCTCTCCACCTTGTTATCATGTGAGTATATGTCGTCTGAGTCGCCTTGTTGTTTGCCACGTCGTCCCTCATTGCTTTGCGTTCCTTTGTTCCTTGTTGTCTTTTATTTGTATTTTATGGCCCTGTTTTTAGGCGTTGTTTACATTTTGCAAGACAGGATTAAGGTTGTTTTGCTTTTTCTATTGCAGTCCACCTTCGACTCCCACACAGCCGATCTTTGACACACAGTCCATGACATCTTTATTACATCCTTGTAAAAATCTCACAATAAAGATTAAAACGATAAAAATGGAATAAGCATGACACCAAATCTATAGATTTCCCAGTTTTATTGTGTAAGCTATTGCGTTTACAACATGCAGCAATTGGGGATGGGGTAAATAAGATTTTGGACACATAAGATGTGCCCAGTGCCACCTCTTCTTGTGGCGCTGCAAATCAGAGCAAACTTTTATGATAACACTACTGACCCACTTAGATTCTGCCTTCAGGCCTCTGCATCTCCCTCAGTTGAACAAACTCTCCTCCCTTTCCTCTCCCACTGCTCTTCTCTACACTGTGCTAACAGAGTATTAAGGCCTGGTCACAGCCTTCTGGCACTGCGAACCCTCGGCTTAGTGGACCCATGCATGACTAAACTCAAATTTATGGTAGAAGCTCCTGACTCCTACCTTGAAGACGCTTAGCAAAACAGTAGACATCAAACAGCTCATCAGGGGACCTATTGCCGTAGTTACGAACTCCAGGTGAGTCCTCACAATCCCCATAGCAACCTGGCCGTGGTGACTGGATGGGATACCTGCAGAGGAACCCAAGAGATAGGGACAATGACAGAGAGAGTGAGAGAAGAAAAGAGAGTGAGATTAATATAGCCTGGCCATGAAAAAAGCAGCCAGAGACTTGGCTCCCCTGGGATGAGTCTGTGTTCACACGCATACAAAATAAGATAAAAGGTACACTTTTATCATTGCCTGCCCTGAAATACAATAAGTTTAAACATATCTTCCTCTCAGAGTTGACCAAAATATATTTCCCAAATACTAATGAAAAATAAACACAGAGATGTCCTCTCTTGAATCTGGTTGGAAGCAAGAAATATAGTAACATTTACAATATGCGACAACAACCGCGGGAAAATAATTGGCAAGCACTTCAATGGATACACTATCTTGTTTGTTTTAATTGTTCTGCCCTCGGTGTGAGTTTCACAACCAAATCGTTTCATTTTAAATCATTTGAAAATGCATTTAGTGCTCTAGCAGTATAAGACTGTCAATGCTCGAGCTTTTAGAAAGAGAAAGAAAGAGAGATAGAAAGTCAAGAAGAGGTTAAAAGAATCAGGAATTTCTGTGGTGGCTTGGCATGCCTGTGGGGCTAAAAAGAAAAAAACAACATCAACAATCTATATTTAGGCTCCAACTGAGCAATTATTCCACAAGAACATTGTTTCCTGCAGCACCACAGTGCAAACAAAGAGGCTGATTAAAAGATTATGCTGGGCATACAGGGACTTTATGAAGCACTTGGAAAAGATGCGCAATCAAATATACATGAAGAAGACAGACATGCTTGTGATATAAGAAGAGAACAAAATCTTTTAGTGTCTCAGGCCGCAGCTACTTTCTTTTTGCTTGGTGTCTGATGAAATGGCGGTTGATGTCTATATTTTTTCACCAAGTATTAATTGGACACTTTCCTCCTGGCTGATGTGCAGTCAGAGCCTCCTGGATCTGGACCAATTAGGTAGCTCCCGAGTGAAAACAACAGGAGTGCGGGATGGAAGGCGAGAAAGAAAAAGGCAAGGAAGTCGTGCCGCAGGAAGTCTGTGAAAAACTGTCAGGCAGACAACAGTCAGTGTGCTTGCCAAGTGGAGCAACGGCAATTTGAAATTAAAATGCTGATATGGAAAACAATGTGGAGAGGCAGGCTCTGACTGGTAATGTAAAAAGGGATTTAACAGAAAGTGGCAAGTGGTACATGGCTGACAGGCAGCTCAGAGGGGGCTGATGTAGTTAAACTGCCTTTCCAGTGTACAAACAAGCTATTAGGTCCAATTATGTTGCACAGTATCAAGTCTATGAAAACCCCCAAAATATCACAATGACTTTCAAACTTTGATACTTTATACTTATAGATAGTTCATTAACTTGTGTTTTTGTAGACGTATTATTTAGAGATTGTCTTTTGTTATAATGTTTGATAGTGAGGAAAGCAATCACAAATATTAGTCTTATCTACTGCTTGAAAGAGGTTTTATATGATAACTCTCTTCAGCAAACCGTGTTAGTATGAGAACTAGATAGATAACTTATTTAAAAGTCAAGTTCAGCTGCAATCTATGAGTCAGTCAGTGTCTATAGGATAAATAATGTGTTGCCTGTAACCGAAGACAGTTTCCTCACAGATTCTCTAAAACTTGAAATTTGGCACACTGACTGATATTTTTCACCAAACCTCATGACTACACCTCGAGCATAGCAATCCCAACCAATGGGGTTGGGCTTGCTGAAAGTAATTTTGTGCATATATCTTTAAACCACATAAATGAGGATTCAAAAAGGATCAAGCAAAGCGTTCAAAGCATGTTACAAGGTCAATTTCCACCATACAAAATCACCAAAGTAATGGATGTTTTGAAGACCTCTTCCAGTCATCCCCAAAAATACCTTCAGTCAAATGTTGTTGGGATTTTTTAAATAACTCATGTGCGTTCTTAAGTCACAGCCAATGAAAAGCACCAATCAAGTGACATAGATGAACTTCAGACAAAGCCTTATGAAAGTGAAAAGACAGAGCTTACAGAAAGTGATTGTGATTTTTGGCACTATTAGATCATTATCCCATAGTGTCCTGCCTAACTGCTCACCACTGTTTTTTCATTTCAGCTATCATTAATGACCTTTTAAAATTTACCCCAGGTTTTCTCAATTGGATTAGCAGAAAACAATTCAAATAAATTGAGGGTACCAATTCTTACACATGTTATGAAACTATGCATGAACCCATGCCATTTCCCATTACAGTGGTCCCTTGTTTTTCACGGGAGTTACGTTCTAAAAATAACCCGCGATAGGTGAAATCTGCAAATTAGCCAATTATTATAGATGTTTTAAGGCTGTAAAAGCCCTCACTACACACTTTATACACTTTTCTCAGACAGGGATGAACATTTCACACTTTTCTCTCTTGTTTAACACTCAAAGTTCAAACCTTGTAGAAAAATAAGTCCAGTATTGTAGAATGAAACCAAAGACACCTGCAGGTGACGACGTTTTGTCGACATTGTTGTGTTTGTTGGGGAGAAAATTTACAGACATACAGAACAAGACTTCAGAGTCACACAGCTTATTTGTTGTCATTTGTCCAGAGGGAAAATATGTCTTTTTTTTCACAATTTTTCTTCTGGATTTGCTGATGATACCCTTTATTTAATGGGGGTTTGTTGCACAGATTCCACAAAAAGACTGAGGAGTCACTTGGGTTTGTGAACTGGCTATGAACATCTTGTGTTATTTAAAGCAGACTCCATGAGTGGGGAGTGGATTTGAGTGATTTGGGGTAAATAAAAGGGTAATTAATGATAGAAGCAAAAAACATCTAAATTTAGCAGCAGTGAGGTGGGCGGTTAGCCAGGCCATTCTACGTTGGGCCAGAATTTTAAAAAACGGACATTGTGAATAAATAACTTGAAACCAGTGATTTGGGCCATCACATCATAAGAAAGTAATGACAGAGGAGAAAGAAAGCAGATTTAATGCACTTCAAAACTGGATATATTTTTTTAAGACCTGGAAGCTATTTACATTGTTTATATACAGTTTCTAGAATGTAGTAATTCAGCCAGTATATTAACTAGTCATATTGAATAATGTATTCTTGAATTTTATTCCAACAAAACCCAAATAGCTCTTGTACCCAGCTTGAAAAGCCTCACCGTACAGTCTGGTCAGAAAGCCAGCCAGCGTCACAGTTGTCATAGCCATCAGCAAAGGTAGCCTGCAGCTGACCAGGTGTTGCAATGGCCGCTGAGTTCTCCATGCACACCCTCTTGGCATCAGCAAAGGTCAGGGCATAGCGGTCATGAGGGGCCCGGTAGTGGAATACCACACCTGGAGCAAAGAAATTGTGATAAGAAATAAAGAGGAAGCTCAAAAAACACGAATACATAACATGCAACCTTCAATTCACCAAAGTATTTATGAACTATAACCTTGCACCATCGAAACATGAGCATGTACATGCTCACAGGCATATGTGCACAAAGCCCCCTTGACATCCTCATCAGGTGTTGACATTGTTCCATCTGTGTGATATGAAACTACAGGATTCAGATTCAGGAACCTCTGTACGTGAGTCTCATTTGCATCGGATAGTCGGTTGGCTTATTTGAGAAAAGAGATGTTGCCCTTGGATACAGAGATTGACAAACAGTGGTGATGTTTATTTGACTGATTTAACAGTACAAACACAGTGTCCCCCTGCTGCACGCCGCCTGCCTCTGAACCCATGATGGAATGACAAAGAAGACAGACAAAGAAAAGGAAAACCATGCGTGCATTAAACCAAAGTGAAAAGAAAAATAGGCAGAGAATATGAAAAGCTTGGTTAAAAATTTTGAAGTAGAAAGACATGACACAGTATATTCCATCGAACCTGGAATAGAACTGCATCAGAAGGTCTATCCAAGTTCAAGTGTTTATCCTTCAGTTCACACCTCTGGTTGCCTTTCACACAACACTGTGCCCCTGATGTGCATCCAGCAACATGAAAGCTAGTGGCTGTTTGGCAACTAATACATCGCCTTTATCTTCGCTGGCATTGTCTGGGAGAGTGACAGATATTCCTATGTGAGACGTAGGGCCCTTGTGACAATTTGAGCATTAACACTCCAGGCTTTAGCGCAGAGAGTAAGCAGGGCCATTTGTAGACAGAGAGAGTTCCCACAGCACCAGCAGTGCATCTGCTGTTGCGGGCAGAAGAAATGTTTTGTTTCTTTTCTCTTCTCCTAATTTCTCAGCCTCCATCCCTTCTCTTTTGAGGCTGCGGGGTTTTGTCCAAACATAGATGCTACTGTAGCTTGCTGGCTAACACATGCACCAGAGAGATAAATGGGTTTCCTCTCAGCATGGGAAACCCAGTGCCTTTCCACAGGGAATGCACAATACCTCATCTCATCTATTTTTACCACGATGCATCTTTGTACATCCCCACACAGTCTCCTAAGGGAAAAACAGAAAGCCACCATATGATGCCCTCGTTGCTACACTAATCAGGAGCTGGTGTCTCTTGACACTTGAATTATTATATGGCGCAATGTGCTTTAGTGTTTAAAAATGTATAATTATTTTTCTTTATTTAACCCAACAAATACAATGAGGCAATTTTGAATAAATGATCAACCTTTTTTGTTTAAATTACAGAGCGGTAAGAGCTGTTTCAAAGTGCTAATTTTTTTGAAAATACAATCACTTACTTGCTTTCTGGCCATGGATGAGAGAACCACTTTCAAGTCTGACAATATAAACACAGCAAATACAGAAACAGCTAGTCTGACAGCATTTGAACATTTTGTGCCATTCTGAAAGGAGCAACAGTAACTCTACTACATTGGGCCAAGTGATATTTACATATCACTTAAACACATATGTCTGAACTGCAAGCAATTGGATTAAAGGCACAACATGTAAATAATGAATGTGTCACAATGAAGTTAACAAACTGAGCAATGCATTACAAGTCTAAAGATAGTTTACTCCCACCTCTTGGTTGTATCATCTTTCTGCAACTGATGTATTTTAAGTTCAGAGTGTGATTTCTAAACCACACTTTCATTCCTAATTTGTGACAACGCAGAAAAGGTGACAAAGGAAACAACAGAACATAAAGTAAAATTAAACAGTCGCAGTGCTGACCTGTAAGTTACACAAGCGCTATATGAGGAAACATTTCAAAGCAGTGACATTTTAGACTAGTGTGTTAGACACTGCTGTTCGATGCACTACAATCATCATCCACAAAATAAGAAAAAAACAAAACAAAAACAAACTTTTGGAAAAAAGAAAACAACTTCAATCTCTCCAGTAAACTTTCAGAAACTTGCAGAGTTGATATCAGCTTTTCTAGATGGTCGTCTTATAGCTGACATGATCTGGCCATTCAAGTAGTTTCCTTCCATTCAGAGGTTACATTAACAATAGTCAGTGCAGATACACTATGCACTGCTCTTACAGCAGTGAGCTGCCATATGTCACCACAGAGAAAGTCTGACAAACACAATCAATAGCACTGCGTTGTAATTGGTGAGACACAGCCAATTGGTCAGTCAATATGTGCCAGGAGAAAGGAAGACGATGGAGACAAAACAAGGAGGAAGAAAGGCAGAGGGAACAAGGGAGAAATAAAAAAAAAAACAACAAATGGCAGAAGAGGACATCAGGGAACACACAAATTACTCTATAAGAAGAGTGGTGTGGATTAATATGATATTAATACAGCTGAGCAGTATCAATACCTGCTAATTAACATGTTGAGCAGTTGGTAGAATTAGCGAGAGGACGGCTGTGGTCTGCCATGTACCGTGACTTCCAATTAAGACTAAGCCCTGGAGAAGGCTACTCCTCGCCAGCTACGTAATTGGCTTCTCTCTGAAGGAGTGGTTTTCATGGTGTATTAATCAATTGGCCAAGAATGGGAGGACACAGGGTCTCCCAAGCATAGTGGCAGGGGTCTCACTTATGAAATGTATTCTATGAGCACCTATTAGGTGTTCTTCATACTTGACAAAACCAGATGGCATCCTTGTTGAAGTACTGAAATTAGGCATTAGGCATAGTGGTCTTCACAAACAGGCACACACAAATTTCCCACAGACATTAACAAGCTTGCATGTGTTCACATTTGAACCATGTGCAGAAACTGAGTGCAGTCTGTCTCTATTACTATGAAGAGTGAAAATGGAGCCAAAAGTCCTCTGAACTTTTACAGCTTCTGTTGGTTATGTTAGCGGTAGCATGGCTTCTTAGTAAGTGGTGGCGTGGTGTACAGTGCCTAATGCATCAATCAGTTCCCGGCAGTCATTATGATAGTAGGTTATTATTAAAAATAGTGAGTGCCCCGACAAAAACCTATGATAGCTTTGCAGATAAAACACCCAGACACGGTAATAATAGTTCCACTAGAGCGAGCTACCTCCAAGTAGCGTGGTATTCCACAAATATCGGTTTCCTGGACAGAACAAATGGTTTGCCTATTTAGTTAAGCCACCTAGAGCCACACAGAGCTCTCGGTGCAATGCTATTTGACAACACTGTGCCCTGCTGGGTTTCTACCTTATTGGCTTCATTAGGTTTTCAGTGCATGAACAGCACCTGAATGGCCCAGGTCAATGATGTTTAATGTGTTTGAGTTCCTTCACCTTTTCCCTATCATCATACATTCTACATAAACAGTAAACAACCCTTGCTGTAATGATTGTACTAGCCTGACACGGAAACAGGGTCATTATTATTCATAGTGGCAGACCTTGAGAGCTACAATGGAGCTATACACAACCAGCGCGGCAGTTATTTGCTGAGACAGTTCTTTGTGTTGGTTAAACACACATAACGCATACATAATGTAATCGCGTACATAAACACACACTGAATAGAAATAATCAGTTTTTATGAAGATACTTCCTGCTTTCTACCTTTTTTCTTTTTCTTACAAAACATTGAAAATAGTGTTAATAATTCGTCTTATAGCCATCAAATTAAAACAAAACCTGGTCACGTCCTAAGTTTGTTACATGTACAAACTCTGATTAGGATGAGAGGAGGCAGTGGTATAACTGAACACTACAATAATAACACAAACAATTAATGAAGATTACCCCAAATATGCTGTTTGAGTTTTTGAATCTTTTTATTAGTTTAGTTCTTGATTTTTTTATTACTGGTAATTCTGTCTGCACTCCTAATGATGCTACATCTAACCAGATGAACTAGCAGTAATTTTAAATTGCTACTGCGTTGTATTCCAAGTTGTTTCTTTATATAACAGATACTACATCCTGAATCAGTTGCACAGATATTGTACACACTACTAAATAATGAAGTGTAAGCTTTTAAATAATTTTAAAATCATCTGGACCGTGACTGGGATCATTTTGAAATGAAACTGGAGCAATTTTAAAACAGAATCAGTCATCCAGTCACAAATATTATACTGTTGTTTTATTGTAATTCAGCACTGCAGGTATATTTATTTTGCAACTGCTTACAAAAAAAGACCCTGGAGCCTACTTTTGCCTACCTCCCAGCTCACACTGAACGCAACATCAATGCCTATCCCTGCAGGTGGTGCATCCACAGGATGGGGTAGATACATGGACTTTGCTAGACAGGGGTTCATGCTATTTCTTTCCACTGTAATTGACCGAGCATCATGGTTACAGATCTGGCCACCAAATGCTTGGCGCCTAGTTTTCTTCCTACTAGTTTGTGGATGAGGTTATCGAGCTCTAAATCTTCCACTTCTGGAGTTTTCTGCCTTAGAGGTAGGGTGAGGAGCGGGTGATGCTAGTGTGACTACTCACTATATTTTACCAGAAGTAATTTAAATGTAGGTGAAATGTTGAAAACTTTACCTTAAATTTAAAATAACTATCACAGTGAAAGAAAAGTTTACATTTTATTCACCTGTGACCTCCAGAGGAACTGTGTCCTGCTCATCATTAATGCCCACCACTACCTCACACCGATATAGACCAGAGTCGCTAGAGCGCAGCCCAGTCAGAGCGAGACTGGCATTGTAGCGGTTCTTATTATAACCAGGCAGTGTGACACGACCCTGGAAGGCCTTCTTCACCTGAGGAGCAGAGAGTGAGAAAAATAGTGAAAAAAAAATGTTTGAGAGAAATAGCTAAATTACAGGTAAGTCAAGCATTTACTAACGGTAAATATGTTTACTGTACCTTGACCACATTGTCTTTGGCCACCAGGACTGACTGTTCCTTTTGCAGGCCATCAGAGCCTCTTTGGCCCCAAACCTTAGTCCACTTGATTCTGGGCGGCTCATGGAATGAACCAGCACTGGGGCGGAGGGTGAAGAGGCAAGGGAGCAGAACTGTTTTAGAAAGCTCCTCACTTATGGTCTGATGGGTAACCTTCCGCATATTCACCACTGTATCTGCACTGGTTAAGCCTGAGAAGAGGAGAGGAGAAATAAATCAGTGCTTTTCATTTGTAAATGAAGTAACAAAATGTTTTGTCTCATTAAGCAGGTTTCTCTTAGTTGCTTCTTTGAGAGTCAAGCATGTGCTTTCCCTCTGAGTTCCGTTACCCCATCAGATCTTTCTTGTAGTAGAGTAGAAGGGAAAAAACACAAGCTCATTGTGTCCCTATGATTATTGATTATCCGTCATTGATCCAACAGACCATTAGCTTGATATCTAACACTGGGAGGCATATATATAAAAGATTTCAAAGGTGCTTTCATGAACCATACATCAAATGTGGATATGAATTATAGGATCAATATTACACACCTCTTTTTGCAGTTTAAGTCACCACCATCCCCACCGTAAAAATAAAAATATTTTATCCTAAATGCAGGGACAGGATATTATTAAAATGAATGACTTTAAGAAAAGGTAGTGTCTTGAGCAAAATCCTGCAAAGTTCTGTTATTGATATTTGTTTTCAACCAGTGTAAAACTCTTTTTTCAATGGTAGAGTTTCTTTAATACACATCATACATTATCTTTATGCTCTAATCCGGTGCCACCTTCACAGAAAAGATATAGGTAGCTCATTTACATTGTAGAGGGAAACAAAACAACACAGTGATGCAGTTTATCACTTCTGAGCTTTATCCACTTCTTTGTTTCTCTTGTGCACAGTGTATGAATGAGGTTTACCTGTAAACGCTTTCCCCTCATCTCACTTTTTTATAGTTCGCTTATCAGTCACTACTTCCTTTCTCTTATTTCTAAGAATCCTGATAAAAAATGTTGCTGTCTTATCTAATTTGCCCCAAAGACAAGAAACAGCCAAGAAACACATTCATTTTCAATGTACAGTTGTGTGTATGCAGCAGCTGATGGGTGGCTTAATGATATTTCTTGCAGCCGTGCCTGGCTGAGCTCCATGACTCCAGGAGGGTTCAATCTTTTGGGAAAGCAATTCTTACATGAAAGGTTCATTGTATTTTTTGTTCGTTTAATTGAAGAGAATTGTTCCCTCCAAATCTGAAGTCATGACTGTGAGATGGACAGGTGGGTTAGTGTAGGGCTGCAAGTGATGAGGGTTGTGTAGCAGACTTATGGTGAAGAAAGAGCTGAGCAAGAAAGAAAATCCTTTGATTTATTACTTATGGTCATGAGCTTTGGGTAGTGACCAAAAGAATTAGACTGCAGATACATTTAGATGAATTAATTTCCTCCGTAGGCTGGCAGGGAATAGCTTTAGAAATATAGAGCTGCTGCTCCCTTGTGTCAAAGAGAAGCCATGCGATGTGGTGCAGGTCTCTAATCAGGATTCCTCCAGGGAAACTTCCCTTGAAGACCTCAGGGTAGACCTGGAATTTCAGGGGTGATATCTATCTGGCCCAGCAGTGTCTCTGGATTCCCCAAGAAGAACAGGAAACAATTAGGCTGACTAAAGTTTTGTTAGTTGCTGGAAAAATACATATGGAATACCCCGATTAGCTTTCTGCTCTTGTAATTGTTTTTTGTCATTAGCAATTGTTATCATGTATTCATTCTACAAGGGCACCATTGAAAGTGTCCTCGCTGGCTGCTGTGTGGAACCGAGGCTGCACAACCTCCTGCCAGAAGACCGGCTGACCGGAAGACCCAGCAAGCCATAGTGAGTGCAGCCAACAAGATTATTTGTGCCCTCCTGCCCTTCCTCATGGACATTTTCAACACCCATCTCTTCCACCCTTCACACTTCCTTTTCAGCTTCTTGCCTTCGGGAAGAAGATTTCTAGAGCATCCGGGCTCGCTCTGCTAGACTGATAAACAGCTTCATTCACCAGGATGTTAGAAGACTGAACTCTGTTCACTATCACCCTGCTCTGCCCTCTAACCCTAGACTGTAAAACTATCTCACATGAGTTGCATTTAAATCTTTAATGCTGCTGTCTGTCTTTGGTAAACAAAAGTCCCATACAGAATCCAAGATCGTTCAGGCCACACGAGAACTTAACACAGGGAGCTAATAAGATAGTGAGACAAAGGCTGAGGAGAAGATGGGACTATTTATACAGATGGGGTAATCAGGGAAGTGGAAACAGCTGAGACACAAGTGTGAGTCACTTGAGTCACTTGTGAGGACAATCAAGACAGAAGAGACAAGTAACTATAAAAATAAAACATGTTAAAGTGTTCCTGAGTGAGACAGAGTTGCCCTTGATGCATCCATCAAAGTGTGAGCGTCTGAATGTTAGGCTAAAAGTCTTAGCCATAGATAAAAGTGGTTGTATGAATGTGAATGCATTAATAAGGCTTGTACTACTAAAATGATTGGAATAGCAAAGCACTATATAAACACCAGTTTCATTTAAAATGAGGAAAGACACACAGGGATTAATAAATCCATGAATGTAAACAGTATCTATTACTAAAAGATAACAAGCATTATAATGGTCAGGAATAATTGAAAATAAAACCTCAGCACTAAACAACAATATACTAAGAATAAAAGAAACCTTAAAGCAAAGAAACAGAGAGTACCTAAAAATAAATAAGAAACTGAGACTTCAAAAACTCTGGGAACAGACCAGGGTCCACAGTAAGTTACTTTATTAATAAAACATGTTTTAAAACTGGCCTGTAGTGTCAGTCAGTCAGCAAATAATTAGAAACACAATTTGACCTGCAGAGAAGTTGAAGATCTAAATCAAACAGGTACAGCTGCTGCTAAGAATGAGTGACAAAAGACAAGTAGAGAGAAAAAACAAATAAAGAATTTAGCACAGCCAAGGATTGTGAAACAGACAGTGAGGTGGGGAAAATGAGCCTACCCGATTTCTTTTATTAGTGTCGGTTTCCGCTGTCATGCTCCATTCCTATTTGTCTAAATCCATGTTAAAGTACTACACGCTATAAGGTCAGCCTGTCCTGCCTGTAATTAAATGGCATATTTCTGGAACAGTGCTTTTCCAGTGATCACAGACGCATCGCTGCGTGAGCTGCTCAACCCCTCCGTCCTTCTCCCATCCTTGTCATTTTTCTCCCCATCTCCTGCCATTCTCTTTTCCCTCTTCGTCCCCTGCAGTACAACCACCTGCCAGCTTTCAGATGAGCTTTTCAACTCACTTTTTCTTATTTTTGTATTTTTATTCCACATATGTATAAAGATATACTATTTTATTTTTTATTATTATTATTGTTTTCAGGACTTAATCCTCCTTAGCCCTTCTGTAAAAATTCACTTATTCCACCATTCTGACTCAACTTTGAATTAGTTGCCTTATCTTTGACAGCCACTGAATGCAATGCTCCCAACAGGGGAATATGATGTGAATGTGTGTGTGTACTTGCAAGTGGAAAAAAAAAATCTTATCTCTTATTTACTATTCATGGAACATCAAGTGCACACTCTCTGCTCTGCACACACAGACACACACACATAACACACAAACCTTGCTGCCACATTTCATCCCTTACTGGATAGTTAATGTGCCTTTGAACACACATAAAAAATGTGCATGATTAGCTGTCATTGCTCATTCCTGTAGCCCTTATCCTGTTGCAGTTGCTCAAGCTAAGAGGATGAGTGCCTCTTCCCTGATAGCTTAACATCAGCCCTCCCATCACATTTTCACCTCCCCACAGACGCATAAACACACATTAATACCCACTTCTCTGCTTCTCCCAGTGACATCGCCTTAGACAAATGCTACTTGTTTAACTCCCTCACCGACAGATCTGTGTTGCTTGGCATGGCAACATCAAACAGCATTTGTGCTCTGAAATGGCCTCTCGTTTTGCACTCGAGAGGCGTTCAGCCCGTCGAGTGAGGTGACCTGTGAAACAAAATGCATGAAGCTTTCGAAAGCAGAACGATAAGACAAGAAGGGGAGGTGAGGAATAAATAAGCAAAGCAGTGTGGGTTGTTACCATGTGGCTACTTAGAGAAGACACCTTTTTCTGATTACTGTTTTTTCTCGCCTATGTATTAAAAAAATGTTTTTTTAGTTAGATGAATGCTCATATTTATTTTCTGGTGGCTCAATCAGTAAATAGCAACAAAAGTTGTTCCTCTTTAGCTTTACGTGTTGCTGGAGTTCCTGCGTTGTTAGGCTCAATCAATAACAATATTAATTTTATTATCAAAATATAAAACATATATATGAAACCATACATCTCAGCTGAACAGACACCACAAGTTCATGTAAACCATGGATACCACTGTTTTGCCAGCATGGCTGTTCCAAATAGCCTCTTGCCATGTAATGAATGCTTGACTTTCTCAGTATTTAATGCTCCCATTGGGGTTTATGTCAGGTGATTTTGTAGAAAGTAAAGCATATTCCCACAACCATGTTTGTTGAGGGTTTATTGGACTGTGATGTCATTCTCTCTTCTATTCATCTAACTTTCTGCTCATCCCATCTCTACCATCCTCCTTTGTCACACCACCCCTCTGCATGTCTTCCTTCACTGCTTCCATAAATCTCCTCTGTGGTCTTCCTCTTTTCCTCCTGCCTGGCAGCTCATGTGGTCACTGTTGGTCTGCTTAGCTGCACAGGGAATGCATCTGATTAAGTTTTTGCAAAGTGTTTTAGAGTGCCACATATTTTAGACACCTTCAGTCAAGGCAAGCGGTGACACTGAGAAAGTCCCTTTTTGCAAATAATAATGAAATGACTTCAGGCACTTTCACTAGTCCTGATTACTAAGCAATGTTTTTATATAATGAGCAGCTCACATCGGCTGAATGTTGACTCAGTGGAAGGTTTAAGTTTATCAAAGCATCAAGGTTACCAGGTGTATTGGGATGCTTATAATTTCTAATAAATTATTCATATTAATTTTGTCAATAACAGCACAGAAAATACTTGAGCTCTCTGGTATGAGAGTAGACGTGCAGGAAATAATTTACTTCTGACTTCTGTTTTACTTGATGGCAGCAACAATATCATTTTGCATTGATAGAAGAACTTGCAGAAGTAATGTAAAAGATACACAACTGACT